CTGCATAGCTACGGTTGTCAAGGTATGAGTCATGGACCCAGCAATCCAGAAGAAGTCGTCTCAAGGCTACGGTGGCCACGGCAACCTGGGCCTCGGCGACCGAGCACCTCGCTCGGCGCCGGCAGCTGTGGTTCTACCTGAACCTGCAAGGCAAGGCACGCAATGGGCTTGGGTTTAAGAGCTACAGCAAATCTTAAATCTTTAAGCGTCTTGTGTTGTCGAGGCTTTCCGGCTCCAAGGCATCGAACTTGTTTCTGACTACCAAAATGCGTGATATCCGTTGGGTCATTCGAGGCATCGTTCCGCAGGGAACTCATGTCATGGATTCATGTCGAACGAGCCAGTGCTCGACCAGCCCTGCCTCTGTTGCAGGGTAACAAGATGTGAGCAAACTCTCGGAGAAGACACAGCATCGGGAATATTGCTTTTGCCCGAGGCAGCTGGCCTGCACTCGAGACCTGGCAGACTTTGTTTCATGTCGAGCAAGGGCTCAGGTCTTCGTTTGGGTCCGTCACAGCCAAGATGCCCACTGTATACGCTCCCCGCTTTCTCCCCCTCGCTCCCTTGCTCAATCTATCTCTCCATCTCTCTGCTCCCGATCTCTCTCTGTTTGTCCGTTTGCCTATCAATCTCGCTGGCTGGCTCGGTGTGTGTCTGACTGTCTGTCTGCCACCTACCTACCTACCTACCTACCTACCTACCTACCTACCTACCTACCTACATCTACCTACTTATATACCCACATACCTACCTTCGCGCACCGATACATACATGCATGCATACTCACATACAGACACACACGCACACATATACACATGCTTGCATGCATACATACGTACATGCATGAATGCATGCACACATGTATGCACATGCTTGCATCTGGCCGCACACAAAGATTGGCGCTAGAAGGTTCTCCAGTTTAAGATCAGCATCACAGTCGGCTTTCATCGCAGTTTTCACCTCGACTGGCTCGATACAGCTTTAGGAACTTGAAGGTTCAGCGATTCTCCGCACCCCAACAAAAGGTTGTGCGACGCGGCTTTCGCTTGTTATGACTGGCGGATTGTGAGGCGGCCAAGCAGGCTGCAAGGATGGCTTGAACCCTAAAGAGGGCGGCCACGAAGGACCTCACACGGTGGCTCCGTTGCAGTCAGGAGGACCGACATCTTCCCCGCTAGGATAAGCGACGCGGCAGTGCATGCTCAAGGACCTCCCGTGCCACTGAGGTCGTGGTCGGCACTTCAGGCCCCTGCCATTACTTTGAGGTTACCTGTTTCATTGCAGCTACTTTCCTGAATGCTGTCAACGCTTGCTGCAAGAGTAGCATGAAAATAAGGCAAAGCCTTTGTTCTGACAGAATGCTCCTTGCTAGGTAGAATGGACAGAAAACAGAGCCGTGCAACGCTGAACGCCAGCCCGATCCAGTAAAGGCCTCCAGAAACCGGTAACTTGAAGCTCCTTTGCAAGTGTGCGGGTTTTCAATCATGTACGCCGATGGCCAAGACCTTCACTCATCTGACAGGGCCGATTGTGCGATCGTATACCTAGAACTGAATGCAGGTGCTATCTACACCATGGGCACCTGTCACAAGGGCCTCCTTGCAAACCTGGGCAGTAAGGACGGCGCTTTTGGGAGGTGCGTGGGGCTCATGGGACGGGGCGATCTGCGGTTGCGAATACTGGCAGATTCTGCAGCTAACTTCGGCGTAACCCCAGTCGCACCATATTAACTTCAATATGCCAGGGGACTTGAAAATTGAGGTTTTAGGGATGCGCAGCTGTGTGACAGGCCATGGGACGAGTTGAAACCCTACCGTGTCGGTGGCCCGTTACGGAATGGCTCCGAGGACCACGCAGATGAGGGCTTCTTAGCCATCTGCAAGATTCGTTGCCTTCAATCTCTCGGTGTTGGAACAGACGCACGTAAAAGTCAAGTTGGCAAATCTAGGACCCTAGGCCCCGATACACGCCTATTGGTTTGCACGGTGTACATACACCAATCGCACAAAACCCACAGACACATCGAGGCGCGCACAGAGTCATACTTTCCGGATGGGGGTTGGCGGGCCTGTTCACATGTGTCGTACCGTATCACACCTTCCAGTATAGACACGGGTTGCCATTGCATTGCTCTCGTTCCATTCCGTGATTGATATCCACACGTCCAGGACGCACCAATGTCCCCACTGGCGGTGTCACTTGGCCAGATGTCAACTCAGAAGCGCAAGATAGGAGGGGCCAATGCCGCAACCGCATACACGATGGCATTGTTGTGGTTTGTTTGTGCTTGTGAGATTTTGCTGCCTTATCAGGGCTTGCCGCTTACCAGGGTGCGAGTCACATGTGTTTGAATGACAGCGGGACTTGTTGCAAGGTTCTGTCAGCCGGAGGTGTATACAGGGGCTCCGGTTGAAAGCTTGATAGAAACACCGTTCCAGATGGCCGCCGCCCTATGACGCTATCGGGCCTGTCACCAGCGCGGTGTCGGCCCACATTCACGCGGTGGCCCGGCCTACAATGCGTTCAGGATTTCTGTTCGGCAGCCTAGAGGGGGAGGTCCCTCATAATCCATGGGCCCCGCATAATCCATGGGTGTCAGGTGCGAAGTTGACAATAACTTCTAGCAATGTTCTATAGGTCAAGCATACTCCTTTACCCTTGGACTCGCCTGGCCAGGCGGTTGTGTGTGCAGATGGCAAAGCTTGGGCCATCTTGGCTGCATGCGATTCCATTGTAGTGGCATGAACATACCGGTATCTCAGACAGGATTGCGAAATAAGTGTAATGAATAAGTTTGCCTGCTATGCTGAATCTTGGCTGCCAGCCAGCAGATGGAGACTTGCGGCGTGATGGTGCGTTTGAACCACACGTGTACTGCTGCATATCAGCTGGCAGCTGGATGGATCCAACTCTACGAGACTATGAGCCTCAATTGTAGAACTGGGAACCACTTCTTTCCTTGCAGTATAAGGCCTGGGGCTGCGGCAGCAACGATGGCCGCTGCGGCGTGGAGCGCTTCCTCAACAAGAAAGGTGAGGGCAAGCCTCCGGAGGCGGGGAGCAATGAGTCTGAAGGATCCTGCCGATACACGAAGAATGAGAGGGTTTTGATGTCTGAACAGTCGTTTGCGCCAGCTTGGCCACGTGCTGTGGGAGTGCCAACCGGATCACATGAATGCTGACATTTTACATGGGTTGGGACGAACTAACTGACATGCTGCATGGACCCGCAAAACAAGTCTCCTCAAACTGTGGGAACACAACCCTGACGCATGCACTCCACCCCTAGAAGCTCGGATGCCCGCCCATGATTTTCACGTGATTGGCATCTACTTTCGTAGATGTTCAAACTTGCATCATCAACTTCGTAAACAGACCTTACTCCGAACAGAGCACACGCCCAGCCCTAGCAATGCAGACCAACGGCCGATTAATGGCTGAGGTGGACATGATGAAATGCTACATGATGGGGCCGCATCGCATTGGCCGCTCGGCAGAGCCGTCGAACCAGTTTTCTTGCGTTGCTTAGTGGTCCCTGCCCGGTTTCTCTAGCAGGGCGTGTTGCCTGCGGCCGTCGAACCGAACCAAGCAGAGCCAACATCGTCGTCAGTTTCGGAGGACAAAAATCTGTACAAATTATAGCGAGGTCAG